GTAATCCAAATACTGATTTACAATCAATTGGAATATATTCTAAATCGGATATTCAGCATCACAATAGAACACAACAGTTTCAGGAACTATTAACACAAATGGACACAATACAAAGACAATCAATTGACCAGAGTTTAAGAAAACTTGCCGAAACCGCAGGATTTGCAGACATTTATACACAAGACTACAGCGGATATTTTAAAGATATTAAAGACTACATATATTTAAACGGTGAAAAATACAGACCACAAGATATTTCACCTATAAATATTTTCAGTTTTGTCACCCTAAAAAACAAAGTTATAGCTTTTCTAGGATGGCCCTTTTACATCTTAGAAAAATTAACTATCTTATACGCAATGTTTAACTTTATAGGATTTTTTTTCTCACTGTTAAAAGGAATTTATAACACATGCGCTATACACACACAAGTAAATAGACAAGCAAGTGTAGCACGTATACTATTTGCAGGATTTTTTGGATTTTTTTCATCATCAATAAACAAAATACTTTTAGATGCACAAATAAAAGAATATAATACAAAAATATCCACAAGATCAAACACATACAATGAAGAACATAATAATGTAGATACAACACCTACAGCACCACAGACACCAACCCTACCACAAAACCATCCATTATCATTAGTTCCCCGTAATTTTCGAAACTTAGCAATTACACATAATCCAAATTTTGGACCAAATATAACACAAAGTCCCATCCAACACATAATACCACATCATTCACAAAATGATAATACATACGAACAAATTATAGAAAAACCTCACACCACCACTTTACAGTCTCAAAATAATCATTTTTTTAGCCCACGATGAGCCGACAGCTTGGATCCCTCCATCGCTCAAATTCCCACCCAGCCAACCTCCAAACTCCAATTCCAATAATACCACTTTTTGCTTTCCCATCACCCAATTTTCCGATTATTAATATATCATTAAGCACGAATTCTGATACTAACTCAGATATTTCAGTTTTATACACTATCTCACAATTAAATAACCCTAATGTAGAAACCCCTGACGAATTTGCAGACTCCGAACCATCTCCATCAGATGATAATTACACCAACTCCTCAGTTTTTTCAAAACCCCCTTTTCAACCAATTCCATCAAATCATTACCTCCCATCCGTTTCCACTCCTTCCTATGCTTCCCAAGTAACCCCAACCTATTCTCCACTTCATTCCGACAGATCATATAATAATTCTCCAGATAACCCCCAAATTTCCCAGGAACTCGATAATTTTATTACCTTACAGCAACAATTAATACACCCTAACACCCTCACAATACATCAACTATCATCCACAATGGAATCCTCAAACCCACCTACTCCTACACCCTCCTCAGCTTACACAGCATCACTCACACAATCATCCACATCCACCGATACACCTGGTAGCACTCACCGACCTTATCGCACTTTTAAACGAAAATTCCCAAATCACCCATTCCCGACCAAACCAAGAACAGCCTGCGAATATATTAATCACCCGCAACACACTAACACAAAAAATTCTCTTGCAATCACCTTACCCTCATTTCCTCAATATACGTTAAACACACCTAACGATACTAATGACACACGTAGTTTTGTAGATGAACATGTTTTGATGCCAACACTTTTTTGGACAGCTTATTATCATTTTAGTAACCCCCTTTGCCTACCACTAACTAATACTCATAGCGACATAGAGAGGAACAAAGACATGTTATATAGACTCACCACAACACAAACACCTCGACAATTTACTTACGTAGGAAAAAAAAAATACTAAAAACACTCACTGCACCCCGAGCTAACGAGTATACAATAGAATACTACGATCATAATATCATCCGACCTAATCAAGACCAATTTTTAGACGAAGACCGCTTCGCTAACCCGCAACTAACAGAAAAATTTTTCATCAAAACATCATACGTATTCACACTTAATATTTTTGATAGAAAGTATGATCTCATCATTTCAGAATCACTAGCCGATATTCAAGCTTACGAAAGTTTCCACGACAAATTTCAGTTATTTTCACTAACCTTTCACTTTCTTTCACCACATGAACGCGATTTGCACTGTTCCCACGATATTATGTTACGCGCTAAGCAAACCCACACATATACATACTATCGTTTTATACAAAATCATTTTGATTTGCACACCCCATCAAGACAACCTCATCATCGTTTTCAGTTCCTTAACTCAAAGTACACGTCACCATTTTTCCTTAATTTTACATACTGTATAAAAGATACTAACCTCCACGGCATCCTCCGCAATTATGACCCAGTTACCCAAATGTATATATTTTGTCCCATTACGAAGACCCTCAATGCAGAAGAATCCAGACCCTTCCTTATCCCGCATGAATTCATCCAGCCTATTGAAATACCCATTTTAGAAGTTATTCACAATACTAAATATAATCATAAAATATATAACCTCATTAAAAACACACCTTACGAGTTTGCAGTAGGCACCGAAGAACTAAAAACCATTAAAGCACTTCAATTGCTTTGGCCACTGCTACAAACTAAAAAAATCATACGCATACTAGCAAAATTACTAACAACATCAGATATGATACACGACATCTTCTCCCACGGCTTTTTCCCAAAAGATTAAGGTAAGTATAATTTGAAATTTTCTTAACTAATAAATTTCAATTAGTACTAACCATTTTTTATCAATGTTTGATTTATATTTCTAGTCTTCACACCACGATGACCTACAAAACAGAAAAGAAAAATAAAAATACAACTTAATAAATTATCTAAAAATTCATTACATTCTTGCACTAAATAATGTAGTAAAATTCATACCAAATGTAGTGATTTCATTTATAAATTATTTCCCCGTGAAGCAGTAATATTAAATACGATGAAAATTTATAATTTTAAAAATTTCCCCAAAACGCAGTAAAATTCAAATTCTATGCAATAAATTGATAAAATTAGCAAGCAGTACTAACTTTTCAATATTTTCATTCAATCGCACAAGAATTCTTTCCACACTCGCACAGCTCGCCCACGAAGAATTGTTTAAATAATGATTTTAAGTTTCAAGTTTTCACACTCAACAACTCTAACAAACGATAACAAGTTTCCAACTTTCATTTAACCCGGTTGGAAAGGAATTGTATACTAAACCAAACTAACCAACGCAGCTTACTAAACACCACAAATCATAAAACAACAGCATGACTAAGAAAAGAAAACTAACGGTACCCAAACCGGATTAACCCAGTTTAAAACTGGATAATTTATTCTTTTGAAGACTATTATAAAGTCTAAGAAAGAAATAATAAAACACAAAAAAGTCGCAAGACAAACCCATACCAAAAACAATTTGATTTTTTGAAAAAAAGGACACAACCAAAGTAACATAAGAAAGACCAACATAAACCCAACATAAAATGTTATCACAAAACAGGACCTCTCAAAGAAACAGCATGCAATCATACTCCCACTCCTGGCCTAACCCACCAGAGAGGACGTCCTGAGCATGCTCTATAGCCGGCCTAACCCACCGCGCTACATCCACGCTTTGTGAGCACACTTCTATTTTTAATAAGAGGTACTCAAGGGTGAGTAACTCTTCAAAATAACCGAACTAAAACAAAACGCTTTTGTGAAAACAACTAACTAAATTCATGATTAAAAAACCGAACTAACATAATTTTATAAAATGTAAATTATAACTTGCAGTATATAGATTATACAACACAACAAAGACGAACATCCAAAGACTAGATGATCCTATCAGACTCGCACAAAGAATGGCTAAACACAACCGACATGCCGTCCACAATCACTACTCAAAGGATTTAGAGTACGACTTGACTTCGCAGAAAAGGACTTTATTGAACTAGACCAATGAACACCTCGATGTTCAAGTATACGTACAGATCCGAGTTACAAGGCATCCCTTCCACACATGATCTTCACGCCATTCCCAGACGAGGTAGTACACAAAACAAGTTCTCTACACAATACAGGAAAACCCGTCATAGCAAACCATCTTGAAATCAGATCGATTTCATTGGGGATCACAGTCGTTGTCGAATGACGACATAACAATTTCCTACCCATAATTCCAGCGTCCTGAAACTTCTTTAACCAAGAGGAACCGGACAAGAAAATGATGTTCATCGAATACAAACGTTCATCATCCATCCTTCAAATTGCAGAAAGATAAATCTAAAAAACTCAGTAAAACCCGGATGGGTGGAACCTGATTTAAACTACATTTTATTATTGGATAATTTAGATATTTTACCACTTTAAAGTATTTAATATTAACCAATCATAATCCATCCAACTAACAACCCACTTATTCGTAAGTGCTGAAATTACTTGTAATTTCAGCACCAGAGAGATTTGAATTTAACTTAGAAATTACAAGAGAACTTCAGCAGTCGCAATAAGCCAGTATACTCTAGATCTATTGAGCCTAGCAGAGACTAGTTAAACACCCTGAGACTAGTAGATATAAGAGTAAGACTAGGATCGGTATTAGACTAAGAAGTTGCACGAATCTATTCGGCCGAAAATAAGATAGCGTGACGAGCAGACGGTGTGCCCTATCCGAAATTACTCTATGAGTTAACTACCATACACATTAACTCACTTTGTTTGAAAATGTTCAGTTTCTACAGTGCCTGTAATTTTTGAATAATATTTGTTACTATTTATCAAATAACAGGAAATTAAGTGTTTTTACATTGAATTTGGTTGAATTATGTACATGTATATGCAGGGGCGGATCTAGGATTTTTACGAGAGGGGGTGGGCGAAATTTTTGTCAACATTTTTTTAGGGAGACCAAATTGATTTCCAAGCTCTCCCAAAGCGCTAAAAATAGTACAAAGGGGGCTAAATCCCTCTAAATCCGCCCCTGTGTATATGTAAAAATGTAATAAACGACAGGGGAATTTGGTCTTTCTGGCATGAAACATTATCCCGTTTACTCTGTTTTAGATGGCTTGAATTCGGTCCTGGCGAGAGTGAGAAGACGATTGAGGTGGTCATCTATGACGACCCCGACTTTGAGGAGGACGAGGAGTTTGTGGTGAAGCTATTCGACATCCAGGAAACCCTCTCCGACACAGTCCCCAAAAACTACATGGCAAGTTTTTTAGACCACTCTATTGATTCAAAACAAATTTAAAAGGTCCGATTTTTTTTCCTAATAGGAACTGTAAGAGTTTCAGATCTATTTAAATTGCATGCCCCTACCCACCCACACCCGTAGGGTCAAAAACTTCCATAAAATGCCCAAAAACCATGCCTGCTAGGCAGTATGTTTTGGCGTAACAGGGTCTTTTTAGTGTTTTGGCCAAGCTCAGAAAATCAAATCACCTGACTAAAAAACTCGACAATATCTTGATTTCTTTCAGCAACCAAAAAAGGGAAATCATATTAATTGTTTCACTGAAAAGAAAATCAATCTAAGATTCAAAACTCTATAAACCCCGGATGGGTGGAACCAGATATAAACTATATTTATTATTGGTTATAAATTGGATATTTTATCTCTATAAAATATTTAATATTAACCAATCACGATCCATCTAACTAACAAACCACTTATTTGTAAGTGCTGAAATTACAAGTGATTTCAGCACCAGAGAGATTTGAGTTTAATTTAGAAATTAGTTACCTCTCCAAGAGAACTTTAGCAATCGCAATGAGCCAGTATACTCTAGATATATTGAGCCTAGCAGAGACTAGTTAAACACCCTGAGACTAGAAGATATAAGAGTAAGATTAGGATCGGTATTAGACTAAGAAGTTGCACGAATCTATCCGGCCGAAAATAAGATAGCGTGACGAGCAGACGGTGTACCCTATCCGAAATTACTCTATGAGTTACACCTCAAACGTAACTCATCTGGTGCGACCATAAGTCTCGATCAAGACCTTAAAAAACAAATTAGCTCAGAACTAACAGATATATTAGAATTAGACAAAAAAAAATTTCAAAAATGTTACGTGATAATATTCTAATTGAAATGTCTCTACGACTCAATAGATCAGAACCGCTATTCCGCACAATACTAGAACTACCAGGCATTGGAAGAAGGCCTCGGACAAGAGACGATCTACGACTACGAAGAAACTTACCATTAAGTTTCATGGTCGTACGGCAAAAGCCGGACCAAACTTTTATATTTAGAATTTTACTAGCAAGGAATTTAGATTTTCATTTGCAAACATAGAAACCTTGAAAAAAAATCTTCAATGATTATTACAGGCGCTAAATCCCATTCACTATTGTACAATAACGGTTTATAAAATCACTTCAAATCGTTTCCTTTAAATCTGCAGTAAAATTAAAAAAGGATATCTGAAAAATATATTTATTGAAAATAAAAAATAAAAGTTAGTTGACATGATAATAAATTGTTAGTATATATAAATCATCCTGGCATCCCCAGCTTCATCACCTAAACATAACAGCAATCATTAAACCACTAATATCATCAAACATTATATTTTTCTATCAGATAAATTTAAAGGCTTATCCAAATTTTTACCTCTATTTCATTTCAACTTGTTCAATATTAAACTAGATCTTCAAGGCTTTCCTTGGATCTCCATTAAATAATTAAGGTAAATCCATTTTATACCATAAAAAATTATAACCTGATCATCAAGGCCTATCCTTGGATCAAATAGAACAATTTTGTTCTCCCCCACCCAATAAATAAAGTGTCTAACGACCTCAAACGTCGATTCACTACCCAACCCTTTCAAAGACACAGGACTAATAGAAATTTTTCAATCACACTAACCATTCAAATTAAGCTAAACAGTGAAGAACTTCGGTTATTTCATCCTTCACTTAATCCCCCCTCTTACCTGACCCAGGCTAAATCTAAAATCCTACAAAGTTTTAATATAGTACCTAACGAAGTACCTGTGTTCTAATTATACCTGAACCTTGTGGATCGACTTACTATTCTCCAACCCTTGAACACAATCACTACGCCTAAGTAAGATTAAGTAAGTTAACACCTTAACTTAGAATAGCCACGAGAAAGTAACAATCATTCTTCGGAATCGATATATACTTTCCTCTCCAACCCTACATAAAAGACCCAAGTTACGCTAACCAAAAAATCGTAAGGACTAACAGTCTAGGATATTAAAATCACTAATAACAATCTTGCACCCTTCATCCTAAACCTTATGTCACTGATCAATTTATTAAATAAACAAACAATCGTACTACACAATTGTGAAATAAATAACGAAGCATACGATCTTGTAATTACACCGCACAAACAAAGAATCGGATATATTCGCACAAAACGTCAAACAATAAAAAGAAAAATTTTAAGTAAACAAAGTCAAATTACACGAAAAAGATTTTCAAAGCGTAGAAACGCAGTCTCTGAATCAGAAGTCAGCAATTTAGATGCACTTTGCAAACTCAAAGACACAATAAATAAAAACTACCCAGTTCACGACCAATTATACTTTTCTGATTCAGAAGCCACATCACCTTCGTCAAAACAAGGAAAAAGAAGTATAAAAAAGATATACAAAAATAAACCAGTACGTTTATACAATAGGAATCAACCAATCAGACACATTGAACATTACGCATTGACGGTTATAAAACGAAAAAATGAGCCAAAGTCCAAGTGATGACAGTTCAGACGAAAATTCTGTTTTCCCTTTTATTATAAATTCACTCACTGAAGATAGAGGACAAAGACAATTTTGTACTAATTTAATTGCAAATGTATTCGAACAAGGAATTAGCCCATGTAAAGCAGAATTCCCAGAAGTAAAAAACAAAAGACAAATTATCGATCATTATTTAAAAGGAATATGTAACCTAACACAACCATATGGAATCTACACCATAGAACTCAGCACAGAAAGTAGATATCATAGCAAACATGTTATTCAAACAGACGATGTCGACATAGAATTTTCAAAAGTATTCACAGAATACATTAAAAATATACAACACCAAAATTCACAAAGAGCAAACTCAATATTCACCAACGATGTTTTTTCACTAATATATAGTTGTATATCTATACTAGAAAATATAGGAACTGAAAGCACATCATCGGTTCAAACATCAAGACACACAAATGTCAGAAATGAAATTGCCGCATTCTCAGCATTTTTAAACACAATTCGTGAAAATTTTTCGAACAATGAAATTTCACCAAATGTCAAACATGATTTACAAAAAATCTTAGCATGGTTCATAATTGATTATTTTGCACATAATATTGATTTAATTGCACAAGCAAGAAAAAATTTCAGACCCCAAAGTACCAATGACTACACTGTCATTGCAGAACAATCAGACTATATTTGGGACCCTGAATGGTCTCATCCATTATTTCTGAACATACCAATAGACATCTCAAGTCAAGCAATCAGTATAATTTCTTTTCACAAAGATTACGTAAAGGTATTTCCACTTACAATAGATGCAACACCTTTAAACTATAATTCATTTTTACCCGATAGAAGACAAAATAATAGTTTAAATTCAACTGTTGTACAACAAGAAAACTTAAATGGAACTAGAAATCTTACACAACAAGATATTCAAACACCATCACATTTTATAAATGAAGAAATAGTTGAAACAATTGTAACAACTACACAGCAAAGTATGTCACCAATACATCCAAACCTTACAACGCCAAAAACAAAGACTTCAATATTACCTCAGGTAACATTGCAATCTACGGTTAAACCCTCGGTTGCTCCAAAATATTCACATATGGATTACCAAACATTTAGACCAATGACGAAACCACCACAAAAACAAAGAATATTCAACAGAAGTAATTTTGCAGAACACAATTATAACTTTGTAAATAGATCACAAACATCTAAACCTCCTCGTACAAACCCGCATAATCGTTCATTTTCACAACGACAAAATTTCCAACAACAAACATCAAATATCGTAAATTTTAATGATAACCCACGAAATCCAACAGACCCAAGTGAAAACTATCCATTTTTTCAACAGAATAAAAATAGTAAACAACCATACCAAAATAAACAAAAAACACCTTACTATACACCTAATTGTCTATCATCAGATGATGACGATTTTCATGACCAAAACCATCAACACAATTTTCAAAACCAAAGACTTCACTCTTATCACGTAAATCAACCAGATATTTTTGAATCATATACACGAGAACAACATATGCGACAACCTAGACCAAATCATGCATCTCAAAATAATAATTTTTACTCACAAAACCCAGCAAATACTGATTATTATCAACCAACACAAATGCAAAATGAAACACCACTACCATATTATTTGCAACAACATGAAATAACAAAAAATCAACTGACAAATTTTTCACAAATGCCAAATGCCGCAGAATCACTACAGATGACTAGGAATCCATACCTCATGGGTGGATCATCAATAACATCAAATAAACCACTGATGTTATTCACAGGCACAGACCCTGAATATTCTGTAGAAGACTATTTAAACGCAGACACAGCAAATTTAATTTTAAATATCGGACCTGAACCAATTAATACACCACTCCATCAAAATTGGATACATAGACGCACAGCGTTAATCCAAACAACACTTGATGGCGCAGCTCGGAAATGGTTTTCAGTTTTACCAATAGACATAAAAACAGATTGGAAAAGATTTACACAGGAATTTTCAAAAATGTTTGATTCTGAAAGAAATAAACAACATCAAAGAGTTTTATGTAACAAAATTCGTAGACTACCAAATGAAACAATTAAACAATTGGCAGTTAGAATCGAGACACTAGTTCGAAAAGCATATTCACTGAACACTCATGATTATATAAACACGAAAATGACAGAAATTTTAATGATGACTCTAACACCCCAATAAAGAAAAATAGCTATTAAAAAGAGAGCACAACATCCCTTATCAACTCGAGAACCAGATTTAGATTTCAGATAAGTAGTTGACAAAGTAGAACAAGCAGAAATCACAATGAAACTTGAAGAAACAGCAAATCTCAAACTACAATACGTTAATAGAATCGAAACAAATACTAAATATGTAAACAACATACATGATTCAGACGTAGACCTAACTGAAAAAATTACTGAAACTTTGAACATATA